AATATTTAGGAGAGACTGCCAGACAGGGCTGAGATGGTCTCTTGTAATTTTGCCTGCTCTGGGTTCCAGCCTGTTTGAAAAGTCATCATCAGGCCTGGCTGATGGGCTGAAGCCCAGGAAGAAAGGGGGAGGAGGCAGGTGTCTACTTGGCCAGGACTACAAATCCAGATGGCTGGGCAGACTTCCGCCCACCAGGCACATGCCTTCATTGCAACTCCTTCAGGCACACTTGGGCTCGGTGCTCCCTTTCTGCCCCAGCCCTGTTCTCTCCAGAGTTTGTGTGTGTGTGTGTGTGTGTGTGTGGTGTGGTATAGAGCAGGATGTCAGGTCTATACCTTACTGAACCTGGGGCTAGGCTGGAGGTCATGAGCACCAGCAATCCTGAGTACAGTGGTACACAGCGATGGGGTTACAAGTGCACGTGTAAGGGGCCATGCCTGGCTTTTTATTTAGGTGTTGGGATCCGAACCCAGGTCCTCATGTTTGCACAGCGGGCCTTACCCACTGAGCCATCTTACCAGTCCCACTCTGGAATTCTTTCTACCCTCTTCTTTCCTACTCTCTGCCTGTGTCTTTCTCTCTCTTCCAGGATGAGCCTTATTCTTCAGTCTCTTGACATTTTCTGACTCCTGACCTCCATATCCTTCTGGTACCTTCCTTTGTCCACCCCTCTCCTCCCCTCTCTGGCTCTCTTATTTCCTCTCTACCTGTCTCTCCTTCTCTTCCACCTTTGAGCCACACAGCTCAACCCAGCCTGCCTCTCCTGGGAGCTGTATTATCTTGGAACACCTTTGCCCAAGAGGGAGCTGAGTCCCACCACTTCTGAAGTACCTTGGAGGAATCATCTTCCCCTCCCTAGTGTTCCCCCTTCTTCCTCTGCACAGAATAGAACACCCCAAGGGGACCTGGACCCCCCATGCCTGGTCTGCTCCTTCAACCACTGCAACATTCCAACTTCCCTGTGCCCCACCCAGCCCGTTCTCTCCTTCACCAACTGAGGCATCTCTATATACCATTCCTCAGCACTGCCACCTACAGGCCACACTAAGAAACAGGGACAAACAGAAGGTCACTTTTTATACTTGGGAGTGGGAAGGTCTTAGCTTAAATAAATACAAATTATTTATCCAATAGGATTTTATTAAAACCATGATGTAGATCTATCAGTATGTATCCCTCTGCAGAACCTCTGAAATGCCCACTTGTTCACCAGTGGGTGGTAGGATTATGAGGGACTTGTTTTGCACTATAGTGAACAAATATTTCTTGTGCAATAAATATTGGGATAATTAAAAAATAAACTGGGCATGGTAAAACATGGCTATAATCCCAGCACTTGGGAAGTGAGATAGGAAGATCAGGAACTCAATGTCATCTTCAGCTACTCTGTCATAAACACACACACACACACACACACACGCACACACACACATACCCTACACATGCAAAATTCCACCAAACGTTTGAAAATACCCAGGAAGTCCTTAAGATAAACCCAGAGCTTCCTAGGGGCCTCTTTATTCATTAGCAAACACTTCAGAAGGGGCTAGTCAGTACTGGTTCTTGCCAGTGGCTAAGCTGAGAATCCAAGGGATGAATCTGGTCCCTGCAGTAACTGCTCCCGCCCCCATGTGTGCTGGGATGCTAAGGTAGACTGTTGGTGAGGTAGAGGGTATCTTCCATATCTGGGGACATCTAGCTCTTGGAGAGGAGCTGCTGTTGAGGAGGGGAGACAAAAAAAGAGATCAAGAAAGCTCCTTGGTGGTGCTTCAGCTGCCCTCCCCCACTCCTGGAGCTCAGGCCAGTCCAGCCTGGCAGCTGCAGGGACTGGCATCAACTATGGTTGCCTCATGAGAATGAGGCACTGGCAGCCAAGGGCATCCTGTCAGACTCCCTGCCACAATGGAGCCATTGCTAGAGTCAGTGTGTTCTCAGGGACTGGGAATGGGCAAAGACCCCAGCCACCACCGGGGCTCTAGGGCTGACCTCCCACCTCTGAGCCAGTAGGGAAGGCATCCTTTCCTGCCTTGTTTCTTTCATTTCTTCTGCTGGTTCCCTCTCTGCAGAAAGTAGAGCTTCAAGAGGTAGAATGTGAGGACAGGGCAGGTCGTATCCTGAGTGGGTCATGTGGTAGAAAGACACACACACACACACACACACACACACACAGTCACACACCTTACCGGCCCCCTACATTCTAGCCCCCACCGTCAGAGAGCACCAGAGCACAGAGACGTGGCTACCTGGAGATGAGGTAGAAGCGCAGTGCTCCCGCTCTGTGCAGTCTGGTCAGGGTGGGACAGCCATGGGGTAATTCCGGAGCGACGACGGGGACAGCATGTGAGCACCCGTCCACCTCAGCTAAATGTGGTTTGTTACCCAGGTCTCCCCCTGCTGCCAGGCACAGCTACACCGCTAGCCCAGAGGATTTGGGGTGTGGGGGATGGAATTCAGGGCGGGTGCTGAAGACCGGCGGAAAGGGAAAGTGGAGCTTTGCTCTCCTCATGGCCTCTCGCTGGCTGCTGGGTTGTTTTCTCTTCTGTGAACTATGACCCGCGCTGAAGGGTCCTGAAGGCTCGGACCAAAGACAAGCCCGGTCCTCCGTGCGGAAGTCTGAAGTGGGCCAAGGAGAAGGGCCGGAACAAAGGGCGTTGGTGGAATCCCGCCGCACAGGTGAGCCTGGCACTGCGCTGAATCAGCGCAGGGATGAGGACGAGTCTCTCACCTGTCCCGCTAGCAAATGCGCGCCCCACTCTCTCCCTCCTTCGGGTCCCACGGCTCAAACATCCCAGTTTCCCATTGTTGGCTCGGATCCCCACCCTATTGCACACCCCCTCAAAAAAGCCACCACCAGGAAAGGACGGCGAATGAGAGCTGCGCTGGGTGAGGCTAGGACCTGACTTGAGAGGTCAGGGGCGTGGAGCAGGGCGCGCTCTAACTTCGAAGAACCACCTTCGCCTCTCTGGCGGTGTGCAGAGCAGACCCGTGTGGCAGGAGCATCGCAGGCTGGGTGGGGACCCACCTGAGGAGGCAGGTGATGGGCAGTGCACCAGGGGCGTCATCTCGTTCTGGTGACAAGTTTGTTGAGTTACCTCCACTTGGACGTCCCTGTCTCCTCCCTATCTCCTCTACCTCCGTCCCCGCCTTCTGGTCTTGGGAGCCTGGGCCCCTAAGGTTCAAGAAGTCAAAAGCATGGAGAAGAGCACTGTGTAAATATATTGACTTTATTTGTCTCCGTTCGGACGCCTCACAGACACATCCAGGTAAAAAGACCGTTAAATAAACCGCCCTCAGCTACTGCTATGCAAAAATAAATATCAATCCTTCGGCCGCAGCAGCAGCCGCCGCGCTGCGCCTCAAGTCCCCTCGGCCAGTCCAACAATTAGAAAAGTGTTCAGAGAGAGCGTGTCGGCGTGAGTGTGAACGGGTGTGCGCTGGGGGTGGAGGGCACAGTGGAGCGGTGTGCAAAATCGGATTTGCAAACCATAGGGCGTGGAGCGGCGACCCTGGGCCCGACTGGGCGGGTTCAGCACGGGTCGCCTCCGGCACACACTCAGCAGAGTTCGTACTGGGAAGAGTTAAAAAATAAACATTTACAAGGGCAGAGAACGCAGCTCCGGTCCCTGGCGGCCCCGAGCGCGCTGCGGGGCCAGGGCGAGTGGACCGAGCGGTCCACCGCGGGGCCGGTATCCAGGCGCGCGAGGGGCGACGATCCCGGGTCCTGGGGAGCGCGCCGGGTCGCTGGGTCCCTCCGGATGCGCCCGCTGGTCCCCGGGCGGGTGTCGGCAGCGAGTCCCCGAGCGGGCGGCGCGCTCACAGAGCAGAGTCGGAATCGCTGGAGTCCAGGCTGTTCCTCAGTTTGCAGCTGCCCAGCGGCTCCCTCTGCAGCGACAGACTCTGCGTGCTGCGGCGCAGGCACTCCAGGCTCTGCAGAAACGACTTCTTGGCCTTCTCCTCCTCCATTGGGGACACCCCCTCCTCCTCCACCTCCTGGATCTCGTCGAAGGTCACCGGCTGCGTCTTGAAGCGAGACTGACGCGGCCTCCGCAGCCGGCCCCTGCCCTTGGACAGCTTGGCGGGCCGCACCGGCTGTGGGAACTCGTCGGCCAGGCACACGAAGTGCGGCATCACAGCCTGGTAGCTCGAGCAGATGCCCAAGAGCTCGCCGGGCTTGGCGGCCGCCATGGCGCCGTCGGCGTCTGCCGGGCCGGGGGACGGCGGGGGGCGGGGGCTCTCGGGGGGCGGCCGCGGCTCCGGGGGTACCCTGGAGGCGGCAGCCTGGGGC